GAAGACCAAGCCCTCAGTCTGTCTGAAATGCAAAGTTCAGGGTTTATCTGAGTCATGCAGGCTTAACCTCTCTCTCCTTCATAGCTCTTACCTTATAACCCTACTTGACCCATCCCACATGGTATGTGATAGCTCTCCTCCTGGGCATGACTCTGTTGCCTCAGTCCAAAAGCAGGATCCCTTCTCTGGCTCTTGGCCACTCCCAGAACTTTCAGCAGCTAGTTGCTCTGCTGACTCAGTGTAGAATAAATGGTGTTGTGAAGAGCAAGGTGTGTCTGTTTGCTCGCCTACTTTTCCCAAACGCTTCAGAGCTGAGCCATCTAAAGAAGTATAGTTCTCTTCTTCCGAGCTGATAGCTTGAAGACTTAATTCCAGCCTCAGTGCTCAAAGCCCATGTGGAATGCTTTGTGGATTTGTCTTGCAATTAATGGCATAATTACTCAGACACCTCTCATGATAGAGGTCTTAAGTGACATAGTGTCCTTGACATAAGTTTATTGTTGTTGTTGGTGGTGGTGGTGGTGGTGGTATTTTATTTGTTTTCCAAATGACTCCAAATAATGTAGAAATAAATAAGGTGAATAAAAGGAGACCTAATGCTATGGTCAGAAATGAGGGAAAATGATGAGTTCGTGAGACTGTTTTTTTCCGGGGACTCCAACCGACATCAGGCCATAGAAGGAGGAATCTGGAAAATGCCTGGGCAGGGGCTGTTAGTCCTGCCAACAGGGCTAACCTGAAGGAAAACAGCACTTTCAGAGTAGATCAGTTCTGCTACTTTATTCATACCTGTCTCTGCCTAATTTAATGGTTGCCCTCTCTGAGAATAACCAAGTGGGAATCCTTTTGACATACAAGGGCAAAATAAAAAGGATAAAAGTGTGTGTTCTAGAATTAAACCACATGAATTCATATCCTGCCTTTACTCCCTGCTAGAGGTGGGGCTCTAAGAAAGTCACGTACCGAAAACCAAGGAGATGGTAGTGCCTTCCTCACACTGCCCTCATCAGAATTATGGAATGTCATCCACATAAAGCACAGGGTGCCTGGCACATAATAAGCACTGTTTTAACGATACCTGAGATTTGTTTGAATTGTGTAGGTAGGACACACAGACACAAAAATATCACGAAGGAAGAAGGCTTCATACTCACAGGTCCCTATAAACAGGAGGGGCCACAGTGGAAAGTAGCAGGCTCAATCAGGAGGTAGAAGGGAGAAGGGGACAGAACGCACAGAGACTTCACTGTGATTTCCCATAGGAAGGAATGGGCAAGGCAGGGTAAGCAGGTTTAAGATTGGCTAGATTTAGACAGCTCTGGTCTCTAGGGGCCGCCCTGGCTGTCTGGTATCTGGTCCTGGAATAAAATGGGTGGGGCAGTAGTGGCCCAGAGTTTGAGAACTTCATCGAGGAGGTGGTTGGGTATAGGGGCTCTGGATTGGTTGGTTTGTCTATGAAAAGTGTGCTTCCAGACAGGTTGCTTGTGATCTCTAGGAATTAGCTAGTCCAGGGAAATGTAATCTCTTCTGGGTCATGTGGCCCCAAGATGTCAAAGCATCAAAAATATGGAATAAAAATATATGATTAACACAAGCACTAATTAAAATTTCTCTATCAGGGTGCCTGGGTGGCTCAGTGGGTTAAAGCCTCTGCCTTTGGCTCAGGTCATGATTCCGGAGTCCTGGGATCGAGCCCCACATTGGGCTCTCTGCTCAGCAGGGAGCTTGCTTCCTCCTCTCTCTCTGCTGCCTCTCTGCCTACTCTCTCTCTCTGTCAAATAAATAAAATCTTAAAAAAATAATAAAATAAAATTTCTGTATCATCGTCATCATCATGCCTTCTCAGCATTCCCTAGTAATAAAGCAAAGTGATGGTTTTATGTGGCTTCTGTGCCATTGTTCTGGAACTCATTAGTAATGGTTGATGTTAATTGGAGTTTGATAAGTAGAAACTAAAAAGTAGCATCTTTTTTGTTAATGACCTAACCATTATTCAAGAGCTGTGTCTAGTTCCGGATTTCATATTTTTGAAGGAAGTGGAGAAACCAGAGAGGATTCTGAGAAGAAATTCTTAATGGGGGGAAGAACCAAGGAGGAAAGGTGACAGATGCTGTGATTTGATCTATAGGTGAGGGATCAGGAGATAGCGTGCCAATCCGTGAGTACTGCTTCCCTTCAGATAAGAAGAGATCACTCAGACATTCTCCATATTTGATGATCATAGAACAAAGTGGAGCAGGTTCATTGTGAAGCAAGCAAAATTCAGCCTTAGCTAAAGGAAAAGCAAGTAATTCCTGATCCTAGGCACCTATAGTGACAGCAAACATGGAGGGTCTGAAGAAAGGTAGCGTCTCAAGGAATAGACCCCTTTCAGCTTTGACAGAGATTATGTATCTCAGACAAACTGAATACCTAGACCCTTGACCTCTTGTATCTCTTTCTAAGGATTATCTGCCTCTGTTACCATTTTTATTTTCTTGAATTCTCTTCATTAAGCTCCAAAGAAAGCTTTACTTCTTCTCACTTCCTTTTTGTAGAGGAGAAAAAAAAACCACACCAAACAAACAAGAAAGCCCACAGCGTTAGATATTTTGAGAAAAGTAAGATTGCTTCACAGAAGAGGCCAGACTTAATACAGGGAGATTCAAAGCACATCAGACAGTCTGAGACCCTGGACCCCCAGCCCTGTCCATGTTTAGGTTAGTGAGTAGTTTGGCAGACAGCCAAGAGTGGGTGATAGGTCAGTGCCCTGCCCCCTCCCATTCTAGGCTGGCTTCCAAAACAAAGAGGTAGGAACTGATATCCTATCCATCTTAGCCATTGACTTAACCCACAGTCACCAACTCTTCACAAAAGAAAGCAGATCTAGTAGATTGCTCTTCCCGTGTAGTTCACGTACCTTTCAACGTACATACTATAGAAAAATCAGAGAGCACAAATAAACAGATCCCTTATTTTTATCACCTTTTAATATCAATAATTGTATTTCTGAAATACCATTTTTACTGGTTTCCGAATATATGGATATCCATATAACTCTTGCAGCTCACTAATGTAGGACATTTAGCATCTTTCTAAATTATTCTTATATTTCAGACTGTACTTACGATGAACATCCTTGTAGATAAGCCTTTATACCATTCTTAATATTCCTTTAAAATGTATTCCCTAAAGGATAATTATTGATTCAATAAATAGACATATTTCTAAGGATTTTGATACAACGGCCAAGTTGACCTCCAGAAAAATCTTTCGGTGAAAAAGTACCTTTGTCAGTGTGCCTGCTACTCTGTCAGTTCTTCAGGATTTTACTTCTCCCCTCTCCACTGGTGTTGACTTTATTGGGGTCATGTATCTTGACCATTAAGGATTTGAAGATGTATATATATATAGTGCTCTTTTGTACCCTTCATGGCTCTGGGTCATGGAAAGGACTCTGGTTACCTTCCTTTTCTTCAGTACCTTCCTAGCTTGCAAAACCACTAAGAGATAAGTCAAAAACAAAAAACAACAACGATTAAAAAAAACCCAACCCCCCCATATATTTAGAAATTAAGAAATGTGCTTCTAAATAATGTATAAAGAAGAAATCTTTTGAAAATTAGAGCGTGTTTTCAAATGACTGGCAATGCAAATACTATATAGCAAAACTTACTCTAAAAGATAACCAAAAGGAAAATGTACAGCTTTAGGGAAAGGATGAACACGGAACATTAATGATGTAGTAAGGATCCAGCTCAAGAAGTTAGCAAGGGTGAATGAATGAAAAAGTGAATGAATACATGAAATCCTTGAGGTCAGTAGCTCCTCAGGCATCTTTGCCTACCTTCTCATTTCCAAAACAGCGCTTAACAAGTAAGTGGAGGGTACACCTGGGTGACTTAGTTAAGTGTCAGACTCTTGATTTCAGCTCAGGTCACAATCTCATGGGTCCTGGGATCAAGCCCGGAGTTGGACTCCATGCTCAGCAGGGAGCCTGCTTGAGATTCTCTCCCCCTTCCTTCTCCCCCCACCTCCCACCAACTCATGCTCACTCAGTTTCTCTCTCAAATAAATAAATAAATCTTAAT